ATGCCTTGGCCAGTGCCGACCGCAAAGTCTGCCCCTTACAAAAGGCGAGTAGCAAATAAAGCTTCACACCCCTTAGTATGGTAGCACAAAACTTCCCCCTACTAGAAACGAGCAGGACCCAAGAAGCAAAAAGCTTGCCAAGAACAGTGAAGAAAGCCATCCCTGCCCCACAACAAGCGTCCGAGCAGAGTCCAAGGACTCAGCTTTGCCCATGACATGTGGCCATTGGTCAAAACTCAAGTCCCCATGAACGGGCAAATTGGACTAGAGATGGAACTCCAGTTTGATTGCATCCCCCCGCAAACTCACAGGCCGACTCTTCGGGGTACCCCCTTGTTTTCCTTTAGTCTATTTGAGCAGGCGAACCCTCCCAACCAACAAAGGGGAGAGAAGGGCACCTAGCTGCTAGCTGGGGGACCTAGATGCCTGATTCCTTTTTCCTTTAGTCTTTAGGGGAACCCCCCCAACCAAAAAAAAGGGGAGAGAAGGGCACCAATCGCTGGGGGACCTAGCATTTGACTCCTAGAAAACCCTTCCTAGAAGCTATGGCTGCCCCTGATGTGAGAGGTGCCTCTATTCGGCCAGCTGGGGGACCCTCTTCGGACGGCCAAAGTGCAGCTCGCTGCGCCGCCGCGGCGCCCGCAGCCAGGGCCTCGATGGCTCGAGGCGCCGTTTTGGCTCCGCCCGGGCGCTGGGGTGACAAAAACCACCGGGAAAACCGAGGGATCCCTATACCTGGCCCAAAAACTGTGAATACTTGGCAATACTTGGCCACAAAAAAAATGGAATAGAAGATGATCACCTTTTGGGGCCGTGGGAAAAAATAGACCGAAATCGGAAAACCGAAAGGGCAAAAGGGGGCGATGGACAAGTGAGTATAGCAACCATTGTTTACCGAAGGATTGACATCGTCCAAATTGGGTCAACCATTCTTTCAATGGTGGTTGAACCCAACAATTGAGGGGAAACCGCCTGTCGTGCTGGTGCGATAAGTGGGGAATGTGGAAATTTGAAATGAACCCAGGGGTCCCCTTAAAGGAAACCACAAGGGATGGTTAAGAAGGGTCCCCTCATTCCCTACCTGTCGCCCCAGCAAGTTAATTATTGGGAAACAACCGCTTCTCATCGCTTCTCCCTAAAAGTAGGGTTTTTCCTTGGAGCACCCTGGTCTTCTTGTGATCTCTGGCGAAGACCGCTGGCAGGCTACCCCTTCTCTTCAAAGCAAAAATCCGATGCCCAAAGACGGTGCGTTGAGCTTGGTCTAGGGAAGCTGCAGGCTATCTGGAGAAAAGTGCCCGTAAATAGTCAAGTAGGGGCTATGCTCCGTGCTGTTGCTGTCACTTAAGGTAGGCTTACTTAAGACTTGCGCGACATTTAGGAAATGAAACATCAACTCTGCCACACCTTGCAAACCCGCGGCGCAACCATGAACAGCGCTAACAATGCGAAAGCACACTGAACAATGCCACACACGAAGCCGAACAAGCGGAATCATCCAAGTACTCCTCCTGCTTGGTGCTCTCACCAAAAACAAGCGCCGTAATGCCTGAGGATCCCTGCAAGCTATCCACCAAGGGCGCAACCTGCAGCACCAACGCATGCTTGCACACCTGTGGGCATTCGGCTTCTGGGCGAACCCGGGGCACAATCAACTTGATGGTTGATGCATTGGGGCTTTCCGGGTCGGAAGATCATGACACTTTCTATTCAGAGAAGACACCCATGTTCGCATTGCCGACTTCCGTGCAAAAGTGTGCGGTAAACTTGCGAATGCGACTGCTTCTTTGCTGAGAGCAAGCCATAGACACGAAGCTGTCTGAGCCCAACACGCAGAAATCTCTCTGAAATTGGGAGCGACCTCCGGATCACCACTCGAGATTGGACTCCCTGTTGAGCCAACATGGGCCTACCAATCTGGGGTTCCTACAAAGCTCTCATGGCTTGGATGTGGGCGGCCCAGGCAGCGGGCGCGAGCGCCTGCCTCGTACAAGGGCACGGTGATGCGGGCAAAGTGGTCCCCTACCTGCGGAGGCACGAACCGATGGAACACGCGCATGCCGCATAACTCCTAAGGCGTTTTGTAAGGGCATCGAACGTTTCAGGGGACGTCTCAGAATGGGGACATGGCGTGAAAGGAAGATAACAAAGGACATCAATCACCTGGAAGAGGCCCCCATGTCGAGAAGCACTCATTCCCCATCTAAATCCACCCCCTACTCAAAATACCCTTTTTTTTCAGGGTATCATGTCGACCCTCTACTAAAAATGGAGGTATTTACCACAGAAAACCAGGTTCTCCCAAAAACGCCCTGCCAAAAGCGGGTATTTTGAGTGGGGGGGTGTGAAGTGCGGCCATGCGCAGCCTCCCCTTTTACGACTGGGCACGCCCGGCGCTTCGACCTTGTTCAACCAGAGGGGTCTATCAGCCCGCCTTGCCACCGCAACGGGTCCAAAAGGGGCTAATTCGACCGGGGGTTCTGGGGGTCGTTCTACCACAACGCAATCTCCCAAACTGGGTGTCAAATAGCATCGGCCAGGATTCCGATTTTTGCCTCAAGGGGCGACCATGACGTGAAACAATGGCGTTTGGCCTTCCTAATTCGAAACGAAAAGGCGAAAGGAAGGGCCCAGGCTTGCCCTTATCTCAAAGCCGGAAGTGGAGGTCCAGAGACAGACATTTTCCGTTTGGCCGATTTGACTGACCAGATTTCTTACGCAGAAGTACCAAAGAATCCAGAGCTTCTGTCCCGAGCAATGTGTCTGTTGCAGTGAGGTAGAGGGTGCTCTCCAACCTGCGTTTCGCGAGCTCCTTGCATCGATCTCTCATGATCCCACCTGCGTTTTCAAGGATGAACGTGGACTGCCAACACCATCGATCGACCTCGCTATGGCCATAGCAAGTGCCACTGCCACCACCAATGGCGAGCGACCACAGTTACGCACACCCACACGCTTAACACCATGTGGCTGTGGTTCAAAATAGGCACCCCAAATGGAACCCTGGTAAGTGGAGCCATGGACCAAACCTGCGGTCCGATTCCTCGTGGTTAATTTTGACCCATACCCATGTCAGCACAACTGCAGCAAGTGCTACACATGCCCAGTGATGCGCTGCCCTCTTTTGTGCCGCCGGCACGCTGCTTGCGGCCAGCTTCGGTATGGGTTTTTGCCGGGTTGGGCTCTTTTCTTCCTAAAGGGAGGGTCATCCACTTCTCAAAGGGCATTTCCCCTTTTGGGACCCCTAAGTGCCCAAGTGCTTCTTGATCCCGTGGGACCCCCTTTTCGGGACCTTTTTCTCTGGCAAAAGGTCCCAACCTGGCTCATGCATTCGCAAGCTATCCAGTCCCAGTGGCAGAATGCGTCTTCGCTTGACGTGTTGCAATGGCTCTGTGAACTACCATGTAATATAATGCTAACTAAATGTGATGCCTGGGGTTGATTCTCTCTGCCGCCATCGGTAAGCCGTCCACCAGAGGTGGGGTTGTAACTTGTTCAAAGGCCTACGGATGCATCAAATCATTTCAGCCATATCCCTGCGCATTGAAAGCACAGTGGCCCGTCCACTAACATGGAAGTGGACAGGAGGGTACATTCAAAGGAAGTTTCCTTTCATCCATCCGAGAACACTCCCCTCTATGCAATGACTTGCCCAGGATGAAGGCAAACGAGCAGGCCGCCGCTTCATGCTCTGAGTTTCCTTGAAGTCAAAAGCATGATTCCAGGTTGCTCACAAAAAGGGGTGCCTAGGATGGAAACTCATCAAGACATTAGCGGACATGTGTGATTTGTCGGGGTTTTCGTAGCTTCCTACAGTCTTGGGCAATCATCCCCAAATGATTCGTTTCGGAAACAACTCCCTCCATGCTTGATGCTGGTTGGGGGCCGGTGGCCTACAAATGTGGAACATGAACAGCGAGGCCTTGGAAAGCTTTGCCATCATTGTCGTTCTGGCGCTTTTCAAGGAACCACCCCAGGAAGCACCCCCTGCATCAAAGCCTCAAATGGAGCCACCTTGAAAGTGCCTGAGTTCTGTGCCACGGGACGGCGAACGAGAACTCGAGTTGCCCAGTCGTGAGCACTAAACCTGGCCGAATTCCAGCCTGTTCCGGGCCACTTGCCTCGAAACAGGCCCAACCCTCGGCCAACGTGTCCAACATCGACCCAGCCCCGACCAAAAAAGGCCTGGGCATTGGCATACCAACTCCTGGGATGTTGTCAAGGCTGCCCACCAAGCGGACTTGAAGAAAGCGAGATTTGCGTTTCGTACAGAAGGGGCCCCCTGTGCTCGAACAGCCGACTGATCTGGGCTTGGCACTCTTCAGCGCCCCGGATGTTTTTTCTTGTTGTTTCAAACGTCCCTTGCCGCCCAGAAAATCCAGCAACTAGACCAGATGTTTATGTTGCCGAAGCCACGGTCCCTACTTTTTGCCACGGCAGGTGTCCTAGCCCCAGGGTTGCAAAATGGAAAACACCGTCCTATTGGCCAAACAGGGGTCCAAAGAGGACAGGAGCGGACGAGTGGGAGGAGGGTTGTCTGGGACCTTGACGACGTTGCGGGGGAATTACTCAGACACTCAAGCATTGAGGAGAAACAAAACCATAGCAGCCACTGGCTATTCCAGGAATTGCGCAGTTGCCAACATGCCATACTCCCTAGCTACCAGGGCCACATCCAATCTGTACTTCCATGTTTTGAAGAATTCAAGCTCAACCAAATTCAAGATGCTGACAATCTCCCAGGACATGCCCCAGCAACGTCATTACATTATTCTTGTGGGTTCCAAAGTGCGCAACCGGCTTTTCCAAAGCTTCCCCATTTCGAGAAAGCCCAAACAACTCTGCTCAACGCGACAGTGCGCCTACTTCGCTCGGCCGGCCGAAAGTGCCCACGCGTGCAGTTTGCACGTCAGCTTGCCTGATTTCTGCATGAGAATGCCACTGAAGCCCCTCGGTTGAAGGGGGCACCACATAAAGTGAAAGAAGTATGTGAAGCATTTGAATTGCGTGCTCCCGTAGAGCCCCACATACTCTTTGTCTCTGCTCATTCCGTGCATCTGGCAAGCTGGCAGGCAAGCTCTCAGAAACCGGCAGCGGACATTGGCCTGGGCGTGAGGCTGCAAGCCAGCTGAACGGGAAGTAGCCATAAACTCTTCAGCAAGGCCGCCTTCCATGTTCCCAAAAAGGCCGAAAACCGAATACTCGACTCTGCTTCCGGGACCGCTTTCACATGTCGGAGCTTGCGGCCGCCAGGATCAACCAGCTTTCTCGCACACGCCGCCCCGGACTCCGGCTCAGTGTACCGGATCGGGTGGTGGGAAGGAAGCCATGCTGTGGATGCACGCGAAGTCCGCGTGAAGCACCACTGGGGAAACCAGGGTTGAAACCATTGCGCATTGGCATTTGCAGGGGAATCGAATCATTCCAGGGTTTCTTTGGTGGTGCGAAGTGGATTTCGTCCATCCACAGTAGGATGCCACATGAAGACGTTGCATTTCTCACTCCCTTGTCGAAGCTGCAAGTCAAGCAAGCCGGCCATTGGAAGGCAACGCCAAGCACATGCAACTGCGCCAACCCCGTACTCCAAATACATAGTAGTCCGAGCGCGTGGCTTTGCTAGGCTGTGGCCCCGCCTTGGTTACGGTTCGGGCTGCAGGGTCTGCTGAAAAATCGCTCCTTGCACCAATCCTTGGTTTGATCCCAACCAGCTTTCAAAACAGGACCTGAACCAGAGCTTCGGGTCTTATTTGGAGAAGCTCCGGGAAGGTGGGGCTATGAAACCCATCAGCCCTCTGCGATCATGGCATCCTAAAGGGTGTTGCCTCCAACCAGGGAACCACATGCCCTTCACCGAAGCCCCACTTGCCAAGAGCTTCAGTCACAATGCCCACAAAAGCTGAGCATAGCTCGACTTTTGGAGCAATGGCCACAAGAAGCAATAATTGCGCATGACAAGAAGCCAGGCATGAGAGTACAACACCTCATGGGAAAAAAAGAACACCGACCAAAAATAAAGGGGCCAAACCCAAAACCAAATGGTGACCGATATGGTTGACTCACCTGCGCTCCAGCAAAAGCCCTGCCCAGAGGTCCAGAGGTCATTGTCCCCGACACCCGGCCTGCGCTCTTGGCCTGCGGGGAAAAATGATCGGCGCTGACCTTTTCGGCCAAACAAGTACGCAAACTGGTGGATCACTTCTCATGCGCCCTAGCTGTACCACTGGAGTCAACCCTGGCGCAAACAGACCCGCGCGCGGCGCACAAACAAAATGAAAAAGCCCTTGTGCCCCCAAAGAGTGTGTGTGTGTGTGGCCGGGTGCGGCCAGGCACATGGCCTCCCACATGAGGCACGTGTCTAGAGATGGTTCTTGACTGGTCGGCCGGGCCAAGAGCATACGAGCAAGACCAGGTGTCTCAGAAGCCTTCACTACAAGATGTGAGCTGTGCCTTGTCCTCCCGGCCGTCCTTGTCGTCTCCGCAGATCTCCGCCTTGGGTTGGGGCTTCCGGGAAAATGACCAAATCAGCCAGTCAAGGTGCTGGCCCAACCTGGCGGCCCAAGTGCATGAAGGAAGCCCGTTGGAGGGCGGGGCAATGAGATATTATCTGCGTATGGCAAGTGGAACTAGGATTGCACTGGTATTTTCCTATGGCGCCTGGCACTCTTAAGGAAACCCCGCACCATCGAGGCACCCACATGTCTGGAAAGGAGGCGCCTTTTACACGGTCCTGACCCCCTGCTGCCCGTCCACCGGACCAAACAACCACCTGCACCTGGCGATGCTCAAAGGCCGAAAGAGATGCAGATGCCCAGCAAGACGTCGGAACTCGAGCTACCAGCATGGAGGGCGAATTACCCCATATCCTTCACCCCCCCCCCCCCCCCAACCCCGGGTTTATCACAAAATCATGCGAAACCTGGCTCCCAAAACCCCCAACACCTCTCGAACCACCCCCCCCCACCCCCCCCAACAGAAACCTCCAAAACCCAGCCCCAAAAAACAAAAGCATAGGTAAAAGACACATCCCCATTTTCTGCCCAATCCCCTTGGCGCCACGGCGATCGCCTGCCCGAGCTGCTCCTGGCCGAGTATGCATGCTCGCCCTCGCATCTGAAGAAACAAGAAAAAAGAGCAGCCTCCCGATTTCGATTGCCTTGCGGGCATGTGGGAATGACCCAGGGCTTCTTCTTGCTGCGCCCCAGGCTTTCGTCCCCGAAGAAAGGAAACCAGTTGGAGGGTCAGACTCCAGTTCGCATCACCTGCCTAGCGCACCAGCAAGTTGTTGCTTGGTTGCTTCTTATTCAGGCAACAATAGGAAATCTAGTTGGCTCCGGTTCGGACATGCTCCTTCCGGCCGATACCTTCCCAGGGTTTAAGAGGATCATTCCGGGCTGTCTCTTGGTCTGCGATCCCCAAAAGTCCAACCAATTCAACAGCTTGCGTATCACCCCAAAGCACAAGCTTGGGTTGCCTTGAATTGAATCTCAACTTTGGGAAAGCGAGGGATTCACACAGAATGCCGTGCCTACAGAATTGGTCCAAAGACCTTGGCACAGAGTGAGGGAAAGCAAGGCCAATGTTCATCGAGTCCCCGCCCATATTGCCTTGTCAGAAATGCCCCGTGGCTCATCCATGTGTTCAGGCCGGTGCATTTGAGTCCGGACGCCAAAGCATGGGATTTGCTTTGGATACCCTAAAAACAAGCACGACCAACTTGCTGCCTTTCCAACATGGGTGCCACCCCAAAGCATGCGTCAGCAACCTGAACTAGGAGACCTTTATGGGTGAGGTTCGAGGAAGCATAAAGGGCCTCTAGAGGCCTTTGGGTTTTCTTTAAAACCTGACGACCAGAAAAAAACAACTCCCCATGATAGCAGCCTTCATGATGGGGGTAATATCCCCTGCGTGACGTCGCTGAAAAAGGGCAGTGTCGAATCGAACATGTGTTGATTCAGTTTGATTCAAGCGTCCTCAAGTATACTGCAGTGCAACCTGCTTGCCAGCACTGTTCTCATGACCTCCTACCAAACACCCGCAACCAACAGAAGCCCCCGGCGGACCCCCTCCCTGCCTGCAAAAGCGCCTTGACTTCATCCTGCACAATCCCAGCCAAGCCGTGAGAAGCTTTGGGGTAACCTTGACGACCCTCTTGACAACAAGCATGCTGACACCAAGGGGCTTCCCTTGAGACACCGCAGTGAAAGAACCCAAGGTGCCAATACAAGAACCCCTAAAAGCCCCGTGGCAAATATGGCTGGAAAAACAACAACTTCTGTTCCCAATATAGGTCGGTCGGCACCTGTGGTATCTGCAGGGTACCTTTCCCTCCCTTGGAAAACCAACAAGGGTCAAACCAGGCCATGCCATGTGAACAAGTGTTGGCTGACACACCTCTAAAGTTGATCCGGTTGCTTTCCTACTGCGATCTCTGAACTAGGACATGTGTACCATGTTTGGTGTCTGACCTATATTCTTTGTAGGGAACCCCTGATCAGAACATCAGCGCCAAGTTGGTCCTCAAGCTGGGAGCGCATCCCGGCATATCCGGCTCATGGTTGCGGACCGATTCCCTTTTTTGAACTTTGCTTTGAGCTCTGGCTTGCGCGGGTTGCACCCAAAACGCGTCTGCTGGTCAGCCAAACTCATTCGCCATTCCGGCGGTGGAACTCCAAACTCCCAGCAGAGCTGCGCAAAATACCTTGCACCACCTGCAACATGGCGCTGAATGGCCCATGTGGATGGACGAAATCTGCATTCAAGAAACCCTGGAATGCTTCGATTTGCCTGTAAATATCAAAGAATGGTTTCAACCATGGTTTCGAAGTGGCGCGAAATGGATTTGTTTTCCATCCACAGTAGGGAGATGTCTGTTGAACTTGGCTGAAACCCATCAGCCCAAGCAAGAATCGGCGGGAACGACCCCCGCGTCCCGCGCCTCCGGGTAGCCAAGTCTCTGCATCACTTCCGTGCCGAAGCCTCCGAAGGGAAGCTGGGCGCTCTGCGCTGCAAATTTGAGTATCCAGACGCTCCAATTCGATTCATTTGCCCTCAAAGCGCCAGGTTTTGAGACCCCAACACCCCTCTGGGTTGTCCAATGGGGAAGCCCCAGGAGCGTCTGGGTAAGGGAGAAGGTTCCTTCATTGAAGGATCTGACACTGGGCTATTTTGACATGGGCATGTGCCATGTCCTTGTCCCGGTGGGGGGGGGGTAGTGTAAAACCCCATGATTCAATGGATTCAGATTCAGGATCCAGAATGCACCCGTGTGATTTGTGAACTCAAGGATTCACATTTCCCAACGCACACACCGCGAAAAGAGCTTCGGATATGAAAGTGATGGAAGTGGCACCCCTAATGCCAGCAGGGCGTGAGTAGTTGTTTTGCCCACTCAACTGCCTCGGTGCAGGGCGTTCAGCTGGCAATTGGTTCAACAGAAAACCGCTCCAGGACCAAATGATCAACCTTGTGGGGACATCTGCCCGATGTGAAATCCATGACGTTAGGCCCCGCTGCATACATGCACTGGAGGCAAATTACAGGACTCTAGGCCTAGGCTGCAACTCTCTTTTTTCGGGGGTGGGTTCCTTTCCTACGGTTTAAACTAATTCCTGTTGGCTTCAGCTTCAACACAAGCACGATCTTCAGCCAGTTGACCCCTTCCCATGACACACACACACACACAGCTCCTCGAGACGTCGGCACCGATCACTTGATGGCATTCGATTTGCCCGAAACCGGGAGCCCCCACGCACGGCGATCATGGCCGGCATTATCGCCTCATGCGGCTGTCGAGTCGATACATCCGGTGACCTTCGGAAGCCACGGACAAATTGCCCGGGGCCCTTGTTCTGACTGCCATTGACTCCCCCTGGGCTTGATCAACGCCAATTTCGTCACAGGCCGAAAATTCCGACGCATTGTCCGCAAGGTAACTAACCTAAACTTCCAAACAAACACTTTCCCCAACGGCTTTCCTGTGAAGGTCTGGTGGCACGAGGTCCCGGAAAGAGAAAACAAAAAAAGAAGCCCAAGGAGTATCTCAACAGCCCCTGGTGTGGAAGCCAACCCTGGATTTGACAAAAAGATAGGTCGCTGTTGCGCAAACCTTGGCCTGCATCCTGTCGGGTCGGCCAGCGGACCGGTCAACCATTGTTGCCACGCCCCGCCGCATGCAACTTGATAGCGCCGATCAGAACATGATTGACTCGTCCCAAGCCTCCAAAATTCAGGGCGCACGGTGTGGCTTGCCGCGGCCATGGTTGCCCTCCCGCACAGCTTGTTGACAAGAGCGTCCCCTTTTCCTTTTGGAAAGGCCCCAAAAAGGCACCAAACACAACGCGTGGGGGACTGCACTAGCGCGTTAGCTGCGTTTGACACAATTGCAGGTTGGTCAACTGCATGATGCAAGTTGCGTCAGACAGCTCAGCTGAGGGAAGCACCTTCACTTTCAGGTTCTTCTCGAGCCACTTCACGTGATCGCGATCCTGGCCAACTGGTGGATCGAAGCAACCAAACTCCCGGAACACGTAGTCTTCCCAGCCGGCCACAAACACACCAAAACCAATCCATGACCAAAATAACCACGGGGAGCCCAAAAGTTCTGGAAATTGAGGCGGCCCAAAGGAAGCGTCCCATGCAAAGCCTGTTTCCACAAGCAAAGGTGTCCAACCCGGGATGTGTCTGGGGCACCGGCAAGGTCTGTTGGCCCACATTTGGGGTCAGGCGTCCAAACCAAGACAGTCGGCTAAGCGCTGACACGCGGAGCAGTCCTGGTCTCACAGTAGATGGTTCAAGATTCAAGCTGAGAAAAACAATGTTGTTCATTCGGGCAGAAGGAGCCACGAAAACGTCACTCATGGCTGGTTTCATGCGTTACTTTCTTCACCCGCCGCTCACGGCAACATGGGTTGCCCTTTCAATCTGAGCCGCCCCGGCTTGGCCTTCAGCTCTACTTGCGAGAGGGCAGTGCGAAAGATGGCCCCGGTTGCCAGCAGAGCCACCGCGGCCGTTTTCACCAGACTGATTTAGACAAGTGCTCTTCATGCATCGCCTGTTCCCCCCCCCCCCCGGAAGCTTGCGAAGCAGGAAGGTCGGAATGGCAAGTCTAAAGGTGGGCAACGTGGCCTGTCGAACCCCTGCCACGCCCCCAAAAATGTGCCCATTGCACCCGTGCCCATCCAAGGGATACTCACGAGTGGTGTAAGTGAGCCACCCAAAGGGCCCACAAAACGTGGCGAAGTAGAAGCAAACGGGCCCACCTCCCCCACCAATTGGGCTTCATCTTCTTGCCTGCGCCCGCACGATGATGTCAAGCTTCGGGTACTGGACTCGGATCGCAGTGGCAACCTGCACAGGGCTGCGGCTTCGACATTGGCAGCGAGCCAAGGACGAATGAGCCAAAGCAGCTCGGAACATCTTTGAGTTGGCCGAACCCATGCCTTTTGGCAGTCTTAATGCTTTCTGTTACATCAAGCCCTGAGCCCGTCAGTGAAGATTCGGCGGAAATCATCGGAGCCTCTGCAAACAAATGCGATCTCGAAAAATCCTCCGGGAGCGAACATCTATTAGATAAATGTAGAGGAGTCCGTGGCACGTCAGAAGGGGGCACTCGTTGGCCAAGAACAAATCAGCACAGAGGGCATGTCCGAGGCTCGGACTAAAACCAACGGTCACCGAAGCCACATTCAGGTCGGGGAGGGTTGCCCCTTGAGTGGTTGACCAGGCTGAGCGCTTGACGTAAGACCTGATTGCAACCTGCTTGAGCACAAGTCGGAGACGTACTATGCACTCCGGCCAATATTCCTGACGCGGGTCCCGTTGGCTCCTGGTCTCCCAACAAAATACAACGCAACCCTACTGACACGCATCCCCATGATTCACGAGCTATGATTTCATGTTCAAAAGGTGCAATACAGTGGATGGACGAAATCCATTTCACACCACTTGGAAACCATTGTGGAAACCATCACGTTTATTGGCATCTGCGTAGGGGATTCATCATAAACCAGGTCTGAACGATGGTTCCTAAGAGGTGGCTTCTGGTAGAAACCACTCTGCCTGCAATCCGCCCTTTTTCATGTAAATCCCTGGTTTGAAGCCAACTTGATTGGACATTTTGCCTGTTTAGTGTATGGCTTCTAGGAAACCACCCCCCACCCCCCCGGCTGAAATGGGCTCAACATGGCGATGGATTCATGCCATGCAATTCGCCGCTGACATGTCTCGCGCACGTGGTGAATCCTGCGCGCCTGGTTCGTCCTCTCCCGCTGCTTGTTGGCCACTACCACCACCCGTGCCTGAATTTGTAATCCACGCCGCTCACAAGGCGAATTCCATAGGTCAGGTAAGCGGGTGAGATAACTGAGATGACCCACAAAAGCCATGGTTCTAAGTCTCCGTTCAGTGGGTTGTAACCAGGCTTGCGAACCACATCCTAAGTGCACTGCCCCTTTCAGTGTTGCCCTCTATTGACTACTGGGCACCGACAGGAGCAACACATGAGTGCAAATGAACTACCAGTGGGGGATCGGACGCTGAAATGCATGCGCCAGCCTGCGCCTTAACCTTAAGCCTTGCCGCTGCCTGGTGTTCAAGACTGCCGTGGTGGGTGCCAAGCTTCAAGGAATTGGAAAAACAACACATTCCTATGGTTGTCTCAAGCTCCTAAGTCAACCATTCGTAGCCTAACATGTCCAAATCCCAACTTTACTACGGAGCATGCATTTAACTCATACGGACTACTTCATATCGCAAACATCTCTTAGAGAACTCATCCTTCAGAAGTGTGTCTCCAACGAGGGCAAGCCTGTGACCCACCTTTTCAGGGACTGTGGAGGGGGAAACACCTGTAGCCCCAAGCCCTCGTGAGACCCTCTGCAGCCCGTCTCTCACCCCACCCCACCTGGCCGACCTTGAAGTTTTCCATCACCTGGACAGGGCAGACAGTGGCAAAAGGGCTGCACCCTGCGCACATTCGGATGTCTCCATCCTGCGAGCCCTCGGCACGGTGCTCATTTTCTTCACCCGCTGACTTCTAAAGCAATGACAACCCATGCCGGTTTACCGAGCCATGGCGTTCCTCGTGCAGCTGGATACCCATCCGGTCATAGAAGTCAGCATGCAAAAAGCTCGAGAGAACACGGAGACATCTGATAATCGCCTTACCTGCTTGTCAAACATCACTCTCCTTTGGTTGCCCCCACTATGTTGTCAAGACGACACAGCCTAATCAGACCAAAGCTTCACTGCAACAAGGTCGCAGAACTCCGCAAACAAGCGGGGCAGCGCACGATTGTGCTCAAGCCATTGCACCCCTCAAAGGCAGAGACAAGCTACAACATGTCAACTACCTTGAGCCAACTAGCCATGTGTCCAGGGTCTATCATCCGAAGCCTGGTGAGGTCATGACTTGCAGCACCTTCATTTGTGGTTCACATCTGTTTGCCTGGAACCAGTGCCGGAAACTTCCACGCCGATTGAGGCCATCCCGCGTGGAAAGGAACGATTTGAAACCCAATGGGTCCAAAGAGACCGGCAGCTTCTTAATCAATTCGTCCACAAAACGCTCTATACGCCGAGCTCTGTAAAGCGCTCAAAACCAAACGCAACAAACTAAGCCACCACATGATCCATACTGTACAGCACCGATGCACGGCTCAGTGCTCAAGCGTCATGGCGCGCCATGATTTGCACCTCGGAAGCTGCGCGCTAGCGTGAAGCGCTCGCGACACCGGGAGTAAGATTGCAATTGTAGTAAGGGCGTCCCAATGACTCACAAACGACCTTGCTGTGGGCCATGCCCACACCTCTAACCCTGTTGCGAAAGGTATGAACAGCTTAGGGGCTGCTAAACATGCCCACCAAGGAAAAGGTCCCCACTGGCGCTCGGAGGCGCCGAGACAGCTTGCGGGTCACTGAATAGAAAAGGCGGTGCTGAAGGTTCGCCAATTGAACCATCAGGTTGAAAGTCAGTGCACGTGCACGTGTTTTTTGACGTTGTGCTTAACACACGCAAAAGGGCGCGGTGAAAGCAATGCGCGTGCCCGGTGAAAGCAATGCGCGTGCCCTCGCCCCAAGATGCGCAACATTCGAACGTGTTTGCATGGGCGAGACCTTATACGGAAAAGCAAAAACGCCGACAACGGGGCAAGCGGGACACACCACACCTGTTCACAGTCTCTATCCATGGGTCAAACATGTCAAAACTTGATCACTTGTGTTGCTTTATTCGAGGAGCTATTTGTTTCTCCAGGCTGGTGCAAGCTACACGAGTAAGCGTGTCTGAACCTACCATGGTGGCCTTGGCAGGGACTAGCAAAAAGGTAGAATCGCCGTGCAATACCCCGCGCGTTTTCTACATTTTCAGTGTGAGTTTCTTGAGATTCAACAACTCTTCAAATGTTTTGCATCCTCTACGTTTACCCAAAGCTTTTCAAGCCCGATTTCCAATGGGATTGAAGACTTCGGTCCAAACCGATCTTCGGCGACTGGCTATTTTGTGGTATTCTCATGGAAGTGCAAAAAATGCACGCACATCGAAAACGCATGCGCGCAATCCGTTCAAGTTGCAGATCGTGCTACTTCTTTGCCACAAGCATGCGCTCGCATGCCGTGTGGCCAGAGCAAGGAAATAGACACTTCTAGCTACTGATCATGCCTTGGACCCAACAGCTTAGAAGGCTCGCACAAAGCAACTTGGGCAGAACACGAACTTGCACAGAGCAACCTGCACTGAGCAACTTGCTCAGAACAACTTGCAGAGCAACTTGCGCAAAGAGACTTGCACAACGCAACCGGCGCACAACAACTTGCGCAGGGAGACTTGTACAAAGTGTAAGTCGCGCGCACGACATTTTCTGCGGAGCCCAGCTTTTGTGCGTTCGCATGAAAGAACTTGTTGTTGTTGAATTGTTATGTTTTTTTTTTTGGGGGGGGGTTCGGGACGGCGCTTTCGCTGTTCGCCAAGCACATGCCGCATCCCAGGTCGGGCGGGAACCAAAAAGTAGGGATGCAATGCTGCGGGTGTCTTATGCTGAAAGACGGGCGCACAAATTATGTTGAAAGACCGACCAAGAGCTCCACAGAAGCTGCACCTCGACAGCAAGAGCTTCGACGTTCAAAGGAAACCTGTGCGGGAGGAGAACAGTCGAAGCAACAAAGCTCAAGATGAAATCGTGGGAAGGCGTCTCCATATCGAAGAGCGAACCGAGATACCAAGGACAAACTAAGAAAGGGCTGAGAACAGGATGATGGCGAGAAAAGTGCGAGACGCCACCAAAGGCGGAAATCATCAGAAACAAACATTTGAGCAAAGAGCTGGTGGGGCAATGAGACTGTGAGCGTGAACAATTCCGCTATAACCCCGCTCGTGAATGGTTCACTTACCCCCCCTAAACCCCCCCCCCCAGCACCACCTCGTTGCATGAGGGTGACTGTGTAACACTACTTCGTTGCGTGAGTAACACTACTTCATTGCATAAGTAACGCCACTTCGTTGCATGAGAGTGCGAAAAATGCAAATTCAACGGGGCAGCACGTGGCGACGGCAGCAAAACCTAGCATTTAAAGATCTTAAGGGAAACCCTCTGAACACCTCAAAAGTCAAAAAGGACCAAATATCCCCACCCCGTACTGGGCCCTTTGAAGTGAATCGAAAAGGCCAAGATTCAGAACGAAGCCGCGGCTTTGGACGGTTTGAGGGCCCAAAACCAATCGGGAGCCTCGGGGAAGATGAGATTTGCTTAGCTCCACGTGGCTCAAAACGATTGCTGAGGATTTGAAGCATATGCATCGCCAGCGGTCTAACAAAAAAAAGCAACACGCACACAATGTATTTATGTCAAACACAAACATGCTGATGAAACCAGGCTTGTGCCCATTTCAGTACTTCGTTCTCCAAAAAAAAAGTCGCTCCCAAAACATTAATAGAGTCCCTGCCAGGCCCAACAAAAAGCGCCGCTTCGGTCCCAGGCAAAACACGGCAACCAACGTCCATTCGCCGGGCCGCCACTCGCTCGGCCACCGCCTCCGTGTTGGGGAAGACGCGCTTGATGACCGGCAGGGCCTTGCCTGAGGTGTGAATCGCGGTCGCTTTTTCAGGTTGCTGACTTGTTTTACTTCCATTTGCGTAAGCCCCCAGGGGAAAAACAGTCCAGGACCACCCAACGACCGTTGTTCTCAATTTTGTGAAAGTCCCGCCAATTTGAAGGCACTTGTGAAAAAATGCAATCGGCAGCACTTCAGGTCTATAACCCGCCAGTTAGGAGACCATTCTCAGCCCATTCATGGCAGGTGCGTCTGCTAAGCGTTTTCCAAGCTCAGCGGCCAGAAGAACTGTGTGCATATTTGCCACCCCCACTGTGAGCCTAGATCTGGACAAAATTACTAGCAAAGGCTTCTGAAAATCTTCAGCGAAAAGCAGCATGGGGCAACGCGGGGCGACACCGGGCAATACGCAGGCAGCACAGGGCGACACGCAAGCGACACGAGGCGAAGCGAGCACGACGCAGGGCGGCGCGCGAGCGACGCTGGCCGAAGCGCACGTGACACGCAGGCGACACGCAGGCGACACGCAAGCGACACGCAAGCGACACGCAAGCGACACGCAAGCAACACGCAAGCGACACGCAAGCGACACGCAAGCGACACGCTTTCGCCGCCGAAGTGATGTTTTGAAATGTCATGCTTGGGGCCCCAAAGAAGCACTTTCACTCTGCGTGACACAGGGCAACACGCAAGCGACACGCAAGCGACACGCAAGCGGCACGGGGCGACACGCAAGCGACACCAGCGACACGCAAGCGACACGGGGCGACGCGCAGGCGACACGCAAGCGACACCCCAGTGACACGGAGCAAAACGCAAGCGACTCGCGGCGACGCGCAAGCGACGCGCAGGCCGAGCAAACGACCTGCAAGTGACATGCTCGTGACGAGCGATGGAGATTTGCATGGCCGTTTGCTGTAAGGGTCATGAGCAGGTTTTGTGCTGAGGTTGGCGCACAGCGTGCAGAGTTTGGTCACACTGCCTTTTTGCCCTGCCCCTGCCCTCGTATATCCGTCCGATTTTAGGGGGTTTGCGAAAATTCAGCAAAGCATCACTTAGCCAAAAAGTGACGTTGTTTGTGTTTTACCCCTAAGTGACGCCAATTTGGCAGCACTCGGGCGGTGCTGGGTGGTGATACATTCCTTTTAAAACCAAAAAAAGGAAATTATGTTTGGGTCCTCAAGATGGGTTGTGCAAGGGCGGCTGAGGAATTGGACCGGGTTCTTCATTGGAGGGGTCATGAGCCTTCGGGTTGCGGTCTTTTTTAGGGTCAGCAGTAGGTGGCTGCGAAATCCAGACATCGCGCCACGAAAGAGAACCATGGGAATGAAACCAGAAGTTTGATTGGCGTGCTAGAGGGAGACCAAATCAGAAATAAGGGGTTCGTAGGTGGTGCGAAATGGATTTCGTCCATCCACAGCATGACCCAACGTGGTTTTCAAAACTTTGAAGCGAAGTCAAACCAGAATTTGAGATCCAGCCTTGTGGGTTGCTACTGAACATGAGTTGGCCGGGCTTGCTCATGTGGCTCACCATGACTGAAAGGCTGAAGATGCCGGGTATAAAAGAAAGGGCGCACTCAAAAAGCTGAGCCCGAATGAACCCAAGAACCCAAAGCTCGGCTTGTGGACAGAGTTGCCATGCTTCGGTCTCAGCTCGAAGACAAAGTTGAAGACCTGCAAGGAGAGGCAGGAGCAAGCGGAGCTAGAAAGCTGCACGCTACCCGTGACCCAAGCAGTGATCCAGTGGATGGACGAAATCCATTTCGCACCACCCAACAAACTCTGGGATAATGATGGCCCTGTAAATAAAGGTTTCCCACGGTTTCAAAGTGGTGCAGGAGTTCGTCCATCCACAGTCGCACTTGTTCAAACACGCCTGGGT